TGAGATTCAAACCCGCGTCACTCAGTGCAGCCTGCAGTCAGAGACGTTATCACTGAGCTACATATAATGGCGGCCATGTTACAAACCTGACTGATAGAATTCAGTCTGCACTAAAGAAAGGACTAAACACGTCACGCTAGTTACTAGGGTCCAATCAAACTACCCGCTCTAGTCCTACAGGAGGTCAATAGCGAGGCCGAATAGCTCAGTGGTAATGTCTCTGACTGTAGGCTGCACTGGGTGACGTGGGTTTGAATCTCAGAAAGGACATGAGTTCCCCCAAGGCTGCAGACACGCCCTGCTGACGACAAGTGTCAACTAGCACGAAACCTAGGTCGAATAAGGCTCACTGTGGCCGATTGCCTCCAACTATCTGAATCATAGGTATATTTCATCTTAAGAATCATTTCACTTGATACTCGTAGTCAATAGACAATGCAGACCTCACAGTGAACGGAGTGAATTTTCTATACATAATTTTTTCACGTGAATTATTATAATTATGATAGAATATTCACTCAATATCTTCCTCGTTGTTGACGTTTTGTACTGTAATGAACAATTGTTCTTTGATATGTCAAATATTTGCATAACTACTCAACATTTTCCGTCATTAAATCTTTTTCATGTATATCTGATAACAATACAATTTAGAAAAATCATTTTCAACTCGATAGCTAGATGTATACTTGTCCTAGTACTGATGTCTGAATAAAGACTAAGTACAAAATAGTGGTAGCTTTGAAAGCTCAAGAGTCGCCATCCAGATTATCGAGTCACACGGTTAATCAGAATCTGTTATCAGCATTCAGGGAAAATGAATACAATGTCTACAATAAATGCAAGTCTTTCATACCACCGGTTCCCTTGGTTAATTTGAACAAATAAGGAATGAACCACACGGTATACTCATTAATTCAGTCAAAAGGCAGATAAGTGTCCTGCTCATATCAACCACAACTGTATTCACCAATCCACCAGCGCTTACAGTAGTAAGTGCATAAAAAAAAGAATGAGAGGGGACAGTCTACTACGTCTTCTGAATAGATACCTAAAAGTCTCCTCATAAAAGCTAACAAACTGTCCTCAGTTGATCTTTCCAAACATGTGATTTTCACCGAGTATACAGTGGAAATTAGTCAAACTTTCAAAATAATCAATATACAATATTACCAATAATTTTCCTGATTGCAGTAGATTGGATAATGCCACCGACAGACAGCGATCCGGGCAACGAGGATACAGGCATAAAATGGACCCACACAACAAACTTGAAGGATTTGGACTTCGCCAATGATATACGTCTGATTTCTCACAAACTGGAAGATATGCAAGTGAAAAGCAACAAGTTGGCAGGAGAAACATCAAAGATAGGAAGGACTTCAAGTGAACATAGATAAAACAGGGGTGATCAAGATTCCTGGCCAACAACAACAGACAACAGTCAGCCAGCATAAATGGGAGGAATCTGAAAGAAACAACCTCCTTTACCCACCTACCTGGGAAGCATCGTTTCAACTACAGGCGGAACTGACGAGGATATCAAGGTGAGAATCGGAAAAGCAAGACAAGCTTTCATTACTCTCAAGTTTGTGTGGAGGTCAACAGCACTCAGCATCAAAAATAAGATCCGGATTTTCAACTGCAATGTGAAGTCAGTCAGTGCTACTCACTATACGGATCAGAGAATTCGCGCGTCATAAAGAGCATCTCAAACAAACTTCAGACCTTCATTAACAGCTGCCTTCGCTCAATACTCAAGATCAGACGGCCGAACAGAAAAGATCAGAAACAGGGATCTCTGGGAGAGAATCAACCCTGCAGGAACCGATTGTGCAACAAGTAAGCAGGAAGAAATGGAGGTAGATTGGCAGTAACAACAGAAGACAAGGGCCAGGCAATAGATCGTTTTACTACCAAAATCAACACGTATTTATATAAATTTCACATACACTATTATAGCCTAGTCAAGTAGACAAACGCATTCTTCTGATTGGTTGTCTTCGAGTTGCTCGGAAAGTGGAGCCATCTATCTGCTAATCATATTTACCCACGTTTAGGTTAGCTGTGATTGGTTGTTGAAACAGCCTTGTTCATATTTTCTCACGGCCCACATTAGTGACCTAGACATTGATGTAGACTAATGTCAACCAATTGGCTAGCAGGCTGCTCTCACCACATGGCCATACTCTGAGAAAGCAAACCACCAAGTGACATCACTAGACAAGCCATTGCTCGAGTGGAACCCGATAGGGAAGCGGCGATTTGGTCGTCGTGCAAGGTAACTTGGAGGAGGTGATATGAAGAGGAGATGAAAGCATGTGGGTAGACGTGGAGCCAGGTGATGAAAACGTTGGTGGAGAACCGAACGCAATGGAGACGTCTGGCTGAATCCCTATGTTTCTCTAGGAATTAAAGGAAATAATAATAATAATACAAAGAGAACTCTTGTTAGTTTATTTCGTAGTGTCATTGCTATAAAAACAATTTCAACCCCAATCTTTATGTATAGAAAGTCAGTGTAAATTATCTCTCACTGCCCTGGTCACTGTAATTGTTTTTTCTTGTGTGCTTTTTGTCTTCGGTTCTGTGGCGTGTTCTACTGATAAGATTTATCAGTAGTACATAAATAGGTCCTCATCAGCATGAAAACATCAAAAATAAGGGAGACAGATTTGATGTTAGACAAAGCAAACAATACAGTGTTGTGGAGATTTATGAAGACGTGAAAGAAATGCAAAGAAACGCAATATGTAGGCGAGAATTAGCTCAACACAGAAGATCTGTGCAAATGGTGCGTTGAAGATAAGATGTACGGTAATTTCACTATATAGAGACACCAAACTGCATATAAACGTGCCTCTACGAAGGCTTCTACCGTTATAATTCCACTTAATTTTGATTACGTCGCCAAATTTACTGAATTGTCTGTCTGTCATAAGTCTACTTTTCATATTAATTCCCATCATCATGTTATGTCATAAATTCATTTTGTTGTTCAATTTTGAATTCTGCCTCTAACCAGATCTTGCTTCCATGCTAAATCCAAGCTAGGATTCTTCTCTTGCCTAATAATACTATAAATAGTTAGGCATCTTAACACTGAATCATTTGTCTACTTACATCATTCGAGAATTGTTTTATTTGTAACATACCTTAATATTGGTTTGACAAGAATCGATGAAATAAAACGAACTAGTATTATATTGAAAATAATGCAAGCTAACAGGTAGTCATTCATTCGACATGTCCTCGTGATGTGTTTCGTTTTCTCCAAAGGCACCTACTACGATTGGTGGGAGTTAGAATTTACGGGTTGGCTGCTGTTGAATCGGGTCAGGTCCAAGTGGCTGAATGGTATACGAGCTAGCTTGCCTTTTAACTGGAATGTCCCGGGTCCCAACCCCTTGTAGTGAGTGCGTACTGACGATGATTCTCAAACCAGGATGAAACAGTGGGTTGTCCAGTACTCCCTGTTGGTTTCCCAGCGGCTCTCTAACTGATAACACTGCGTGGTCAAATTCTTAAAACAAGTCAAATCCTTGAACGACATCCCTTGAAAATATAAAACTATTATCTTAATGAAATATGCTAAATTTATCTTTGCACTGAATAGTAAATCCACCTATACGAAGTTTTTAGTGATTTGGAAGCGAATATTCTTCTGTTAGCTATTTACACTAAATGGTAACTTTGCAAGAAACTTTGCATGAAATCTGTAATGATGTCTATGTTGTGGTAGAAACCGGGGGATTCTCACCAGCCAACTCAACAGACGATAATGAAAAAAATACAAACATTATTCAAGAGGGCCAGGATTCATTGCAGCACTCCCACATTAAGGAAAATTGAAGAAAGATATCTCATTGACATCTTCCAGAAGAATGGATATCCACAAAATTTCATCATAAAGATATATATCCCCAAGCCAACCTATCAAATCAAAAGCTCCCAAAGAAAGAACAAAGAAAATGGCCCCATCATATATAAAGGAGATCTCAGAAATCACTCCAAGACTCTTTAAAACTTTAGGAATTGATGTCGCACACAAACCAATAACATAAACCAATAAAATCACTTCACTCAACTCTGTGCCAACCAAAAGACTCAACAACGGAAGAAGATATAACCAACATCATTAACAAAATAAATTGTAACAACTGCGAAAAACACTACATTGGCCAAAATGGACGTCCTCTTCGACTTTGTATGCGTGAACATAAAATAGCCGTCAAGGACATGATATCCACTCCCTCGCTCATATCACTACACACAGACAAGCACGGACATCAATTCCACTGGGACAACGTTCAAATATCAGACATAGGAAACACCAAGAATACTAGAGAATTTTTAGAAGCCTACCTGGTATTCCAGTGAATCATCAATCAATAGACACATTGACAGAGACAAAATTCACCAATCAATAAGAAGGAAGTCTCACACAAATAGGGTCTAACTTCAGGTCAAGGAAACAATCAATACCAATACCGATACATGAGCCTGGAGGGTGTGAAGACACACAAAAACAACCAATCACTTTCGGAGTCACCCATCAGCAGTGATGTCTAATAAACTCATGGAGAATTCTAAAAGCTCACTTTAACAAATTGAAGTATGCATGCTGAAGATGTTGCCTAGTAAGGGGCAATGAAAGCTTCGCAAATAAACTATCAGAGAACACAACTACATCAAAATCACTTACTTGGGCTACAAATCGTCTCTATCATAATGAAACAAATATGGCTGATGGAAAAGAAAAGTAGCATAAAATCAATTGATTGTGAAAAACAAATTCTCGACTTGAAATTGGCATTCTTTGAATTCTCTACTAAGTATTTACTTGGTCAATGATATTCCATTGTGGGAAATATTTCCAGGAAAATAAATACAATGAAATAACCTGTTTTCATCTGGCACATACAGTTCACAATTTCAATTTACGATTGCAGTTGCAATGCTGTCTAGTGAAATCAGTCACATTACTCAATTCATATAATTTATTTAAATAGAGCACTTAATACTCCTAATATAATGTTTAACCAACGTTTATCTTTTGATAGATATTGAGTAGTTTGATCAATCTGTGATGGTTTTGTCAGGGGTTTTTTCTTCTTCTCCTTCTCTAAAAGAAAACAAAATCAAAAATATGGACAGTCAAGTGGAGATTTGTAGATCAGGTGGATGGATGTATCTTATCTCTTTGCTGAGATGATTTGGTTTGATTACAAAGGGTTTATTGTACTTCAGGATAAAATCCTCTATGTTAACTTCATTATGAAGTGAAACATCAAAATTCTCCATAATTGAAGAATTTATTTCTCCTAGTGACCTTGTGTGTGTGTGTGTGATTAATTAATGCCCTCAGGAGACTTAGACAAATTTTATCAACCTCACTAAGAAAAAAACGTCAAACACATTCAAAAGTTCAAATATCAACGATATGCATGATCAATATCAAGTCAGGGGTGTGATTCAAAGGTAGAAAGTTTGCCAACCAAGTCTTATGTGGTCAGGATATCGATCCTTGATCACAGACTCAGTGCCAGCACCTCGTAGGCTAGCTAGCAACCTCACGTTGTAAAAGTGAAACCTCTACTGCCGGCCGAAATTTCAAAAATCTACCTTCAAGTCCCATGTTCCACTTGGAATTCAAAGGAGCATAGATAATGTCATGGAGGAAAATGGTTACCTGATCAATACTGTATTATGAAAGCTAAATTCACAGTGAATTTCGACTCGGAAATACTGTCGAGGAAATACAATAGACGCTTTTCAGTTGAAGCAACCAGTTCAGTGTACAACACCAAAAGTGAATAAAAGTTATTAAAAGAGAAACAATCTGTAAATATACCTGTTCAATATACATAGTAAAAGTCAATCTGAACGAAGAATATTCTTTTCAATAATTACTCCTCTTCAGGCACTCAAAATTATAAACTGAAATATTTGTTGCCACTACAATAATGGGCAGTTTTGTGGAATAAATAGCTCGATCTTGTCACACTTAGTCGATACTCAAAATGTCATCGACGTCACTACAGCTCTCAGGGTTACACACCAAATTCCAAACTCGTTATGACGTATGATTCGCTTACGTCCGCTGCCCATAGCTGAAGCTGTTCCAATAAGATCGACTAAACCGGAACTCCGTATCCAAAAACAACACGTCCAGACGCTGTTCCCTCCTTAGCCAAACTAGGATTGATGATTCTTCTTCTTCTTCTCACCAACAGTGTTTCTTCCCCTCAATCCTCTTGGTTTCTTTTTCTTTCTCTACTTATTATTACAATTACTATCAATATTATTACTGTTATTATTATTATTCGTCATAATTTATGCCTTTCATGCAAACATTCTCTCAATACTATCGAATTTTCCATTTTTACTATCCACACTTGCTATTACTAGCGATATTATCTCTTTTCTCAATGAAATATGCCTCCACCTGTTTCATTTCACACATCCGTTATATCATTATGAATCTCTCATTGCAGTCTTATTATCTCCGGCATAATACATGCCACTTTGTACTAGCCACTCGACTCAGCTAACAACTTTTATGACCTTGAACTGACTTGTCAATTTTCCTACCCACACACGTCTGTCTCCCATTTTACAACATTATGTAATCGATTTCAGCCTAGCGCGTTGGTCACACACACAAATATGACTGTTTATTTTGACACCCCATAACTGCTAATCTGTTTAGATATGATAGAGAAGATTTGTAGCTCAGGTGGATGATTTTGACGTGGTTTTGTTCTCTGAGCTGGATGGTTAGTTTGCGAAGCTTTCATCACCCAGTAAGGTGATGAAAGCTGCTAATCTGTTATTCTACGTTGAAAAAAGGGCTATCCACTGCATAACTAGCTATCATTATTGTAACGACAACAAATAATATACTTTATAATAGTACTGTATAAATGCTGTATAAATATGAATATTCATTCAATAATTGTACAGACCAGTTTGAATGTTATTCAGAAGCAAGGCATTATCGAATAGGAATCATGTGCTATACGTGAAATACTATAGAAGTGTATGCAAACTTTATGCAACATGAACAAGACATTAAAGTGTGTAATAGAAACGACTAAAATACCAATCAATCAATCAATCAATCAAATATCAGTCGAAATCTTACCTCCTAATAATTCACTTTTCGTTGATTTACATGCTATTGGTTCACAATTTATATTATTGTCTTTTGATAATGCTACGAGATTTGCATTTCCAAATTGAACCACGAATAACATAAGTAATATCAAAATTGTTGTAATTTTCATCTAAGATTAACTGTGTGATATGTGGATAACTGTTAAAAAACGAAGTTGAGTAGAGAGAGGTTCATTATATATATATATATAGACCTGGTGAAAATTTGTTTGGAGTATATACAGGTGTGTATTTGTGCTGATGTGCGTCAGTGAGTCCAGAGCTGTTTTCAGTGTACCTTGAAAAATCTTACATTGACTTCAGTGAAATTAATTTCAACAAGTGAATTAATACTTCAACTCATTTCTTTTATTTATTATGTGAATAAGTATGAAAGTTGAGTGAATTAATTCAGTCAAGTATACTTACTTATATATATATATATATGTCAATAACTTATTGTAATAAGGTGAATAATCGTCAGTCAATACTAATAATAAGGTGAGCATTTCAATAGTACTAGAATATTGTTAGGTCAGAAGACTGTTGCTGAGAGACTTCTCTATTTATCTATTTTTGATAATAATTATTTTACTGTTATTAATATCGATAAGAGTTGATGCATGTAAGACCATTTAACTTATCAGCCTTTAAAAAAAATACGATACGTTGATATTTATGATTCACTAATACGATGCTTTTCAGGAAGACATCACACTATATACTACTGATAGTCGCGGTAATAAGTAGTGAACAACATACCACCGATTTTATGTAATAGTTAATTAAGTATAGTATTGTCAAATATCTAGACGGCAAAAATCCTGAACTTATCTATTGTTGGTTTCAAAAGAGTGTGCCTAATACGCAGAATACTATACGTAGGAACCAACGAGGTACAAAAGAGAACCGAAATGCAATACAGTTGTTTACTTTTCAATGGATAACGAGACAAATATGCAAGTGACCTGACTGTTTCGCTTCCCGTTAAGTCTCAGTCAGACTGTTTCAGATTAAATAGCTTCCTGTTGGACATCAGTCAGACGTCTAAACTAAATGGCCTCATGCTGAATCCCTCAAAATGCCAGACTATTGACTTCTCCTTTAGGCATAAACGAGATCTACAAACACTAGTAAGCATTCATGAAGTCTGTAGCCTGTAGCATTGAGGGGACTAAAATTGAAACTAAGTTTAATGCAAAATACCTCGGACTAGTTCTATCCTCCAAGCTTACTTGGTCATCTCATATCCAAACGACTTCTAAGAGAGTGTTCCGTCTAGCCTACTACATTAAGAAACTCATACTGACTGGAGTCACTCAACCTTTGCTTTCACAATTTGTCAACTCTCGTATCCTACCTATTCTACTTTACTGCTCCCGTTAGTCTTTCCTGGGTTACTGAAAAAGGACTATACCATCCTGAGAAGGATGTTGAAGGTAGTTGGTAGGACTAGCGGTGTAAAACTCAGTCAGCTCGTCACTACATTAGCAGATAAGCATCTGAATACATGCGACAAATGGTCTAAAACCATACTCTCCGACCCCCAGCACCCCTTTTATTCCCAACTCACTCCTTGCATCTTATCAGGTAGAACCAGAAATCAGTACAAAATAATATATGCTCGTACAAACAAGTATAGGAACTCCACGACACCATATTTGGCCCGTGTTCTAAGTGACAGAGACAATGTTAAGCGTGAAACTTATGACTTGCTTTGTTGTTAATAACATAATTTTGGCCCTTGTTATTTCCCCCTTATACTCTCTAATTTGTACTCTATAGTGAACAACCTTCTTAAACATACTTAGCTACCTAAAATTACTATCATTGGCTTACTTTCTTGTACTTTGTTCTATTCATTGTTTTGTGTAACTACTGGTTCCGACTATATTATCACTATGAGTATTAAAAAATTGTCCTGTCATTAACCATCATGTAATATTAGTTTTGTGATTGTTTTTATTTGGCTATATTAACTGACAATCTTGGTTGTGAACGCCATTATCACCATCTTAAAATTTTATATTATGCATGATTACTCACACTACCACTACAAACACCGAATCAGACCTGAGAATAAAAACCCTGAAGTGTTATTTTATGCTTGTTTAGTGTTGTTCAATCAAATTAACTGATCATCTTGGCGATAAACATTCTTAATATCATTTCATTACTTCTTGTATGATTATAGCTTAACTGTTCACCACGCACAAACCTATCATAGCTTCCACTACCCAATACTGAGATATTATTTATTATTTTTGTTTATTTTCCTTTCTACTTCTTGGTATTTTTTCGCATTTTTTTGTTATTTTTGTGTTTTTTGTTTTTTTTATTTATTTTTTGAAATACTCCTCTTAAATGTTTGATAAAATTAGATGCAATATGTTAGATATGTGGTGAAAATTCCAAACTGTATCACTAGTACTGTTTCTGGAATAAAGCAAATTATTATTTAAAAAAATACAGGTTACTGTCAGTAAAGTCTGTAAATAAAGGTGCATCCTTGACCTAGTGGTTAGGACTCTCGTCGACCATCCATATAATCCGGGGTTCGATCCCTTGATAACGCACACCCAATATCAATGATCGGTCTACCGATGAGCTATCGATATCACATGCTGAAACTTCCATACTTTTACTGAAAATACGGTGCGGAATCAAGCTATATGTGCGTTGGTGGCACAGTGGTTAGGACTCTCGCCGACCACGCACATGGTCCGTGGTTCGAGCCCACGCCGACGCACACTTGATATCTATGGTCGGCCTGCAAAATTTGGGCTACCGATATCCATGCTGAAAATTCCAAACTTGTACCGAAAATACAGTGTGGAATCAAGCTGTAATCAAAAATAAAAAATAAAAAAAATAAAATAAAAAAATACAATGAACAATTTTACTTCTGGTTGTATTTCTTCAATCTTCTGCCAACCAGTATATGACTAGGTAATGGTAGCCTTCTTGTCTCTCGATAAATGAAGACAAATTCAAATAAGTAAACGATTCAATCAATGTTCAGGAACGCTGACAAGTGTTGTACATGCTTAAAACAGAGTGACATCATCAAAACTAAACTTATATTAATGGTATCTGGTTGAATGGACGATAATAGAAGTAAGGAAGAAAGGAATCTGATGTATAATATTTCGAGTACTGATGAAATTTGTAACCACAATATTGCAGAAAAAAACAGTAACAAATTGTTTAAAAACTCGGTCAGTGAATAACGCAAGTTCTATCATACATGACAACCAGTTGATAAAGTTCTTAAGTATACTGAGTAGTTGAAAAGGGTGAACTATAAACATTCTTATGTTAATAGATATTCTTTGACAAAACTGACATTGCTTTAACCATAGAAACAATTGGTGGATGGTGAATAGCGGTGGAATTCAGGATAATACAAATTTCCTCCTATTAGGGATTGGCTGGTCAGCTAGATCTGCCCGCATTCCCCAGTGGGTGCTGGTGTTCCCACCACTGAGGCTTGAATCCAGTGCTCATAGTTTCAAACACTAACTAAAGCGTTATCCACTGGACCACTTAGGCCACGAGAACCACCTCTTGTGCAACACGTGTCATATCAATTATTTAATTGAATTTTAGGCTTTCTCGTCAGTTGATTGGACCGAAGTGCACCTTGTCAGGTTGACATGTCCGTTGGCTTCTTGTGCAGATGCTTTGACGATGTCTGGGCACGTATTGAGAAGTTAACTGGTGGATGGTGACTGGGAGCGGAATCCAGGATGCATCTTTTGTCCTATCGAAAATTCAATTAAATAATTAATATCACCGTTGCACAAGAGGTGGCTGTCATGGCCCAAGTGGTGTAGTGGATAACACTTGAGCGTTTGAAACTATGGGCACTGGCTACGAGCCTCGGTGGGAACATTATCATTCATTGCGGAATGCCGGTACGTCCATTTGACGAGCTAATCACAGACTGGACGAAATAAACATCGTGGATTCCACTGCTAGTCATCATCCACCAATTAACTTCTAGTTACATGTCCAGACATCGTCAAAGCATCTGCACAAGAAGCCGACGGACATGTCAACCTGTGAACGAGCACTTCAGTCCGATCAGTCGAAGGGAGGATCTAAAATTCAATTAAACATATGATCAATGTTCAAGAAAAGATGGTTTGGAGCTGTGAGATGCTTCACCAAATAAGGCATACATTGAGCAATACTTTAATGACATATAACACTGACCAGCTTATGAGAGTATTTGTGTACCACTCACAGCAGTGAGTAGTACTTGCTAGGTAGATCAGAGAGATCTAAACACGCATCTAATTCACTTGGAATAGGGCTCACAAATGCTCCAGTTGGTTCGACTCAACTCAAAGAAGTGAATCACTGCAAACCACACAAGTTATGACTAGCCACTTAGACGAGCCAATAATACCTACAACCAAAATACGCAGTTCAAGATACACAGTTTCCTAAGGAGACAAAAATATTTGGATTACATATTGTGATTCTACTTCACAAAGTTTGTTTCAGATATATTCTGTGAACAAGAATTGTGTCAAGTTTTTCTTGAATTTGTTAAATAGCTTCGAGTTAATAGCTGTTACCGTGCTGGCACAGCAATCATAAATGTTGTTAAGTGATTAATGAAGATTGGCTATTTCAGGACTTCGGTGTTATTCCTCATAACGGTGCTATGTGTAGACCATCTTTATTTTAGTAATTATGGAATACAAACATCATTACAAAATAATCTAGGAAAATTTAACGAAACTGTTCAATATATTCTTCACAGTTCACTCTTAGTAAAGTCCTTTGAGGAACTTATATAGTACTTGAAGACTAAACCTACCTATTGTGCGTCGGTGGCATAGCGGTTAGGACGCTCACCGACCATGCACATGGTCCGGGGTTCGATCCCCGGCCATGAACGCACTCCTTTACCTCGCTAAGCCAGAAATAATGCTGGTAAAGAGGAAAATTTGGGCATGAGGCTAGCAACCCCATCCTGTAAAATAAACACTGCTACAGAAACTTCAAGCCACTAGCTTGAAGCCTTATGTTTCACTGGGGAACGTGAAGGAAAGAAAAAAACCTACCCATAGAGTGTTACCTCCCATTATATTTACTTATCAGGTTTATCTAGCGATTT